GCTCAGTTGGTTATGCACGCAAGTGGCATGCAGGAGGTCGTGGGTTCAATCCCCATTGACAACATTCGGCACTTTTTTTTTTTTTTTTTTTTTTTCTTTTTCTTTTTTGGTGCCAACCTAATGAGATAGTTGGCTTGCTCCCCCTGTTCGGTATGGGTAGGGTCATTGGCCAGCACGGGAGGGCCTGTGTGAGTATGTGTTGTGTGAGTTATGTGTGGTGTATCGGAGAGTGCTGGCCATAGACACTGCTGTTACTCGATGGAGGCGGGGGAAGTAGATGGGAGGCGCAGGTACTGGCAAAATGCTCGGTCTTTGCGTTAGCCGGCCCCCCCGCCGATTGTGGGGGGGGGGGGGAGGGGGGAGCAAACATGCATCCCCTTAATTGTGAGAGGTAGCTATGCTTGCAGGGGTCCCCTGTAGAGGGAGGCTTCGGAGAAGTGGTAAGTAGGCGGTGAAAGGTGAAATTGAGAGAAGAATATAACTTAGTTTTTAAAAAAGGAAAAAAAGGGGCAAGCGTCCAACACCTGCACTCCAATCGCCATTCATCGGCTGTCAGCAGCCCAACAGGCCAAACGGAGAGCTTAACGGAAGGAAAGGCAAACGGCAAGCCAAACGGCAAAACCAAAAGGAAAGGTAGACTGAAAGCCAGACCGAAAGCCAGGCGGATAGCCAAACGGCGGCCAGACGGAAAGGCACACGCGAATGGAACGGGAGGGGAAACAAACGGGCTCACTGTCGCTTTTGAGCGCTTAAGCAAAAGCACACCGGGCTTGAGGGAGGGAGGGAGGAGGGAGGGAGGGAGGGAGGGAAGGAGGGAAGGAGGGAGGAAAGGAAGAAGAGCAAGGGAGTCGTGGACGCGGCACGATGAAAACGAGGAGGAAAAAAAGGGAGAAAAATTGCATGGGGCTCATTTCTAAATCCTCCGTTACGGCTTGCGTGACCATATCCTCCGACTCTCCCTCCATCCCTACTTCTCGCGACATGCACGCTGGTTCATGGAGGGAAGTTGAGAGAACCAGGTGATGGAGAAAGAGAGGAGGACGACGCTCGAGGGCAGAAGTCACATGATGCCCATCGAACAGAGGAGTGCCGAGGTCATCCACAAGGCAAAGAAGTGCTCTCCAGGATTGTCGGCGAGACAAACAGAGACGCAGAGCAACACCACGGGGAAAACACACAACATCCACGGCGGGCGAACGAGTCAGCGATACAGAATCTCTCTCTCTCTCTCTCTCTCTCTCTCTCTCTCTCTCTCTCTCTCTCTCTCTCTCTCTCTCTC